AAAGTGATTTGAAGAAAATCTATCAGAAGTGAGGTAATTACCGCATTTCAAAGAGAGGGTTGCTATGAATGAGAGACCAGGAGGTATTTTGAATTTGTAAAACAGATACGGATTCCCTAGCTAATTTTATATTTTTGTTTATCAAAAATTGATCAGATATTTTTTAACGTTCATTGCTTAGATACTTTTGATACATCTTATGTAAAGTTATATTTTACTCTATACGTAGAAATTCCTTTGAAATGGGTAGACAAAAAGTGAAATAAATAGATTACATGTCTGATCAAGAAATAAAAAAAGAAATACTTGTGGAAAACTAGAAAAAAATGATAAGGTTTTGAAAAAAGGATTTCTTACAGCCTAAAAACTTTTAAATGCATGAACACACAGTCCGATTTTGTCAGAATTATTTGCACCTGTGCAACAATAATGATTTCAAGAACAGTGTGCAAAAATGTTGATTTTTTTGACTTATGAAGTTTTCAATTGTTTGTTTTATATAGATAAAATTTGATTTTTGTTGCTTTATTTATTGTTTGTATAAAAAGCTACTAGAAAATAACAAAATTGATGTTAAAATTAAAACTATTTAGGTTAACAACATGTCGACAAAAAATTAGAGCACAATAAAGCTAGATTAAAATTGTAATTCATTAGGATATTGCAGTTTCTAACTTCAATTTTAAAGAACACAGTGATCAGCCGATAAAAAGTGAATAGACAACTGAAGGCTAAATACTAAAGTTAATACATGTAGACAGAGATTAAACAAGTTACCGGTAATTAGTCAACAGACGGTGATTATAAACTGCAATATTCTAGTCAATAGACAATGGCTAGACACAGTCAATAAATCAATATATACAGTAGTCAGTGATTAAACTTATTTAGTTAGTCAATAGACAAACATATAGTAACATCAGCTTAATTAGTCATTAGACAACAGTAATCTTAGTAAAAGAAAAGTCGAGAGATGGTCGTAAGACGTCGTTAATAAGCCAAATAACAGTACATTGTAGTGAGAAACAATTTACTTGTAAGTAGACAATAAATAGTCACAATTAACTTAATAATAATTCATAGATAGTGTTAAGGCTTGGTTAGTCCATATATACTGGTTATAAAGTCAGCTAGTCAATAGACAGTTCTTATATGTAGTTATACTGAGTTTATAAATAAATAGGGAGTGTTAAAACTCGTGCAGTTCTTATATCTTTTAAAAAAAATTATCGTGCATTGCAATTGTGAAACAAGTCTCGCAAATATTCATAAATACAGATAAACATTTGCAATATTTTTCATGTATTTAAGCATTAACTGCTATATTAGAAATAGAGTAAATTGTACATGTGTTTATCTATTTCATGATGATGATATCAGCCTAACCTTTAAAAGAAATTGCAATCTCTCAATTTGAAATTAAAATGTTCTTAAACAAAATATCTGTATCTCAAGATTGAAAAAAGACAAAAGAAACCACTATCAGAGCTGAGGCATCACAAAGCCAAGCATCAGCTCGTAAAAGAGCTCCTTTCTAAGAGGCCTATTACTGTTTTGCTACCTACAAACACTCACCCTCACATAAAAACAAAAGCATATGGTTGTTGGTAATGAGCAGTCGCATACTTATTCATTTTTTGTTTTACCGTCATTGTCTCCTGCTTCAATCTACACTATATTGTAGCAATTAAAAACATGTTTTATTGGTAGTAATACAATTCAATAATTAAAAAAAAAACCATAAAAAGCAAATTCAAAGAATTGTGACCCCCCCCCCCTTTCGATGTCTAAATGATTGAGATGCCATTATCTATGGCATTTTTGTGTCAAATGCGTATGCCATATCATGTCATACAAAAGTAATCACAAAAGTTAAAACTAGGTCAAACATGAATGTCAAGGTCAAAAAATTATAGCACTCTCGGAAACATCTTGTTACAAACAATGTCAAATATAAAAGCCCTATCTCTTCTCGATCATAAGTTAAAGGGAAAGATAACATTTTTAAAATGTAGGTCAAACTTCAAGGCCACGGGGTCAAAAATCATATAGTATACATGTACATGTATTTAGAAAGTTTTTTTCAGCATTAAACATGTGTAATATGAAACCCCTACCTTTTTTCTTTCAAATTGTGGTCAATTGAAAGTAATCTTTAAACTTCAAGACCAGAGTCACAGGATGAAAAATAATAGTGTATTTAGAAAGGTCTTGTCACAGGTAATACATACATGTATGCGTTGTGGCAACGCACTTTGAAAAAATTACGCACTTTGAAAAAATATTTCAAAGTGCGTTAGAATTGGGACAAAATCAACGCACGTTGAAAAAAATTTCAAAGTGCGTTAAATTTGGGACACGGTCAACGCACTTTGAAAAAAAAATTTCAAAGTGCGTTAAGAGTGTACAAAGACATTTTTTTACCATGGGGACATTTAACGCACTTTGAAAAAAATATGCATATAAAACAAAAAATTCTAGACTTAGGTTTTAATAATTGAGAGAATCGTTTTGTAATAATTATATCTTTCGAAAAACTTTACATGTACTCATTCAACCTTATAACCTCAATGAGAACAAGTAGAAGACGAGTAGAAGGTCTCTCATGGATGAAGGTCTCTCAGCAAAACTGTTTTTTCCTATAAATTGTACATAGCCGTTGGTAGCAATTTGAAATACTACCCCCCTACCCCCAAGGTAAGCCCAAATTTTCAATGCCTATATTACTATGTATATCTTTGCAAAACATTTGTGTGCCTAAGACCCCGTTCCGGTACCGATGTCTATGCTACACCCAAATATATGTATTTACATAACTGGTATGACGTTGAAAACTTTCAGTAAATTTTAGTTTACATAAAATGCATGCAAACTGAAAAAATTAAGTACAGTAAAACATTTAAGAGAGAAAGAATTTTCAAAGTATGGAAATTTAGTATGGAACTTTCACAACCTGAAGTGACCTTATCACCGAATTAAGAGTTATCAAACAGCTTCAATTATTCATCCTACTTGCAAATATATTGACCAAACTATACACTTTATTTTCAAAGTGCGTTAATATGGTCGATATTAACGCACTTTGAAAAGAAATTTTATTTTTTCAAAGTGCGTTGATGTTGTCCCAAATTTAACGCACTTTGAAATTTTTTTTCAAAGTGCGTAATTTTTCAAAGTGCGTTGTAACAATGTGTAATATGAAAGCATTTTTCCTTCTCATTCAAAAGTTATGACCAAGGTGCACTCTAAATACTAAAATTCACATTCAAGTTTTGCTTTTAAAATTGTTATAGACGCCCGCGTGACGCAGTGGTTATAATCGAGATTTTTCACTCGTATGGAGACGCCACCACTTGCTGGTGGAGAGCTGCATATTCTGTCCCATACTTGGCATTGAGGACCATTGAGCAGTGAGGGCTCTTTTTCGTGCCAGCATGCACCTACTGCGACACGGGACCTCGGTTTATATGGTCTCGTCCGAAGGACTGGTCTCCATGTCCAATGGTAGGATTCGAACCTGCGACGTAAGGATCAATTCCTTTCTTCGCGGCTATATAGAGCAGATGCTCTAGAGACACTCAATACCCTCGAAAAGAAAGAAACTGAAAAAACGTGTGCTAGTACGCCGTTAAAAAACAAGGCCGCAAAACCAGCAACTGGGGAAACTGCTGCAGTTTGAGACTACATAAAAAAGGAAGGTCTTGCTCAGGACAAAAGTAGAAACATTGGATCTCCACTCCAAGATAGACAGAAGTTATTATGTATTAGTTAATAAAAAGACAACAGTTCAACAACTGTTCAAACAGTTCAGCGTTGTTTACAAAAACAACCACAGAGATTCCATCAATGACAAAGAAAACACGAATTAGTGAGGCCCCGAAGAAAATCATGCACAAGAGCCATCACGTCTTGCAGCAACCCAATCAGGGTTTCACCTCCAGCACTTAACCGACATCACCCACAAATAACAGAGATCGGTGTCTTTTACGCATGTTTTATATCTTACTCTATATGCCAACTAGCCTTAAGGATATACACAATGTAGTTTTTTTTAATTGTTTCTTATTCCTTGCATTACTTAGGATCGCGAGTTCTGATAATAGAATGACCTTTGTGCGATGCCTGGTAATGCTGTGCACCTCCTTTTAATGATGAAGAAATATCTGAAAAAATACTTATCAACTTTTGTTCATAAGGAACCAGGATTTTCACTATTTTCTGGCTTCACACAGGATAGTAAATGCCCTGTAACATCAATCTATTTGTCAGAAACCTATCTTGCTTTAAATTTGATTGCACTTAGAAAAATGCTTATATTTCATTAGTACAGTAAACTTTATAGTCCTATATCTGGGAATTTTGCTATTTACTGAAGGATATCAAGATAGACTTTGCTGAGCTGTCCCTTTCATCACTCATAACAATAAACATAGGAAATCCAAGGCCATAAACTGAGAACAGACTTAAGTCAAAATTTGAAATCAATATAATTTTTGAAGTAATTTTGAACATAAAATAAAACTTTGAACATACAAATGAATTTGTGCAAAGTACAAATCAGCAATTTTTTATCCACAAATGTTAAATAGAACTAAAGACAAATTCTTTTCTTCAGTTTATGGTCTTGAGGCAAGATCCAACAAAAAGATGTCAAACTGTTATAGATCTCAAAATGTTCCAGGAGTGGAAGCAGGAGGTTTGACTGATATTTCCAGCCCCATGGTGGAACCAAGTGGTTATACATGTAGTGAGAAACTTGTTATGCCCTGGTGACCATCAAGGACCATGGGCCTCTTGTTCCTTAAATTCTATTTGATGTAACATTTTCACTTTCATTAACTTCCTGTTTCAGGTCCTCTGTATTTCATGTCCGAGAATAAACAATTCAGCCCTCAGATTTTAACTACAATATTTTTTTAAAGTTTTTTTAAATTAAAATTTCCTAACTTCAAAGAAAAAGTACATGTACTTTTTCAATTTGGAAGGAAAACAATTGCAACGATGATACAGTACCTTTATTTGACAAAAATCAATCTTCAAAACATTAAAAACATAAATAAAATGATCGGTACTTCAAAACTGCAAAGATATTTGATCAATGGGTGTCTAAACAATCTACCATGCAGACATAACATGCTTGCTTATTTATTCAAACACTTTACATTTATAATAAATGGAAGTTCTAGAAAAGTGTTCAGATATCATACATGAATACACAGTAATCTAAAACTAGAACTGTCCAAATGGGACAAAATAAACCCTGCTGGGTTTTTCAGAAGTGCTAAATCATGAATATTTTATGGATCTAAGAGAAGAGAGAAATGCTAAAACACTTTTAGTGCAAATGTAATTGCTCATTATATTTTTTATAAATGAAAGGAAGGCGCAGCCTAATAAAAAAATAGACTAAATATACGGACCAGACACGAATTATGAACTTTTTCTGTCAGTGACCTTGAACTTGCATAAATGATCTTGGTTCAAAGTGATGACACAACCGCAGGTCATGAGCAATGTTTGTGTGAAGAGTAGATTCAAGTTTTTCCATAATAAAGAAAGATATGGACCAGACACGTATTATAAAATTTTTCTTCCAGTGACCTTGAACTTCCCCAAATGACCTTGACCCAAGGTCATGACACATCCTTAGGTCATGAGCAATCTTTTTGTGAAATGAGAACTTACCAAGTTTATCCATAAGAAAGATATGGACCAGACACGCATTATGAAATTTTTCTTCCAGTGACCTTAAACTTCCCCAAATGACCTTAGGTCAAAGTCAAGACACACCCTTAGGTAATGAGCAATCTTTGTGTGAAATTAGAACCTACCAAGTTTATCCAGAATAAAGATATGGACCGGACACGAATTATTAATTTTTTCCTCCAGTGACCTTGAACTTCTCCAAATGACCTTGGGTCAAGGTTATGACACACCCTTAGGTCATGGGCAATCTTTGTTTGGAGTAGTAGATTCTAATGTTCCTCCATAAGAAAGATATGGACTGGACACGTTTGCACAGACAGACGGACAGCTAGACAGCTAGACAGACGGACAAAGTGATTCCTATATTCCCCCCCAAACTTCGTTTGCGGGGGGTATAAATACTGGTATACAATAGAAATAAATATGTTAAACTTTAGCATGATTGTAACATTCATAACAACAATTATAACCATCACACACAAGTTCACTGGGTTTCTCCATGTTGCTCTACAAATGGCACATTGATCAGTATGAAAATATCACCACTAAATTTTTACATAGCACTTTGTATTTCTCACAAAATCATGAGCTTTCAGGCATGAATGATGTACATGTATGTTTCACTGTTTGGAATGTGATATCTCATTCTTATAATTTCAAGGTAAAAGTAAAGTGAAAGTGGGTGCTACAATAGAAGATGCACTTGACTTACTGTATCACAATGTCAAACCTGGCTATGCATTTCAAGTGCAACAAAATACAACATGTATGGTATGACCTTTGAGGCATAATGCATGTGTATTAAGTTTGTTATCTTTGGAATTATAAATTTTATGCATAACATAATACAAAAAAGTGTGTTATATATTTTTTAGCTATGATGCTTTGGTTACTTTTTGCATATTTGGAATATATAAACTTTATCCATTAATAAATAAAACAAACTAAGGTATATTCACTGAACTATGCTGTTCATGTTTTGATCTGAAATACAATTTTGTGTCTTTGGAATATACTTTTTCAGGTATCTTTATTGCATTTAAATCAAACTCCTCTGAGCTCATCATTTTGAAGTTATCAAAATTTGCTAGGCCATAGGAATCTGTTCCCATGGCTACGAAGCCATTGGCCGGTTTTGGAGGCACAGTGGTTTTAAATAAGCTCACTCCATTTAAACTGCCAATAGCTGTTGTGTTCTGAAATATAAATCAATTTCATTTAGAGAAACTTCAACATCAGGATTAAATATTAATTATTAGTAAACTAAAATGTTATCCATTGCTACATTTTTATTCCAAAGAGCTGTTTGAATTTCGTCCCAGTTGCAAACCCGTACATAGATGCAACTTTAGCATTTAAAAAGATATTTGTGTTTCAATTCTATGATATATTTACCTTCACAATTAAGCTAATTGTATTCCAACCATTCACAGAGAAGTTGGCTATTCCCTCATGTATGACAGAGGTACGAGCTGTAAAAGAAAACAGATATTTTTGAGCTGAATTAATTATACGATCCTCAAATTACAGTCAAACCTCATTGTCTTGAACTCACTTCTTCTCATTCATGGAATTTGAGATATCAGTGCTTGAGATTCAAAAGTTCTACACTATATTATCATTATGACTTAAAAAATACTATGCTATACTTGTGCCTAACTAATGGAGTTAAATAAGTGGATCATCATTCAATGTATCTGGAGAACACATCACTCTTGATCATAAACTTTTTACACATTAGCAAGATGAAAATTTCTAGAATTCTTGATATTTTTTCCTATAATCTTTAATAATTAAATGAATTTTTGATGTATATTCTTTTGGCTGTATTTCAATAATTTTATTAATCTGTACTTACAAATATTATTAGTTAGTACATATCTCTGGCTTTTCCTATAAACACATTATTAGCCAGTCCATATTTCTGTTGCATAAATTGTTTGCCTTTACTTACACACATCATTAGCCAGTACGTATTTCTGTTCTATAATTAGTTTGACTTCTTACACACATCATTAGCCAGTACATATTTTCTGTTGTATAATTAGTTTGACTGTACTTACACTCATCATTAGCCAGTACATATTTCTGTTGTATAATTTGTTTGCCTGTACTTACACACATCATTAGCCAGTACATATTTCTGTTGTATAATTTGTTTGCCTGTACTTACACACATCATTAGCCAGTACATATTTCTGTTGTATAATTTGTTTGCATGTACTTACACACATCATTAGCCAGTACATACAATGAAGCGCATTGAAGTGGTAAAATTTTCCATTTGGACGAAACGTTCTGAGTCATGTTTTGAACGTCAATTATAACATAACGACACACACATCACTAGCCCATTTCTTTGTATAATTAGTTTAAACACACATCATTAGAGAAAGGAATATCCACACATCACTAGCCGTAATGTTTTAGGACACCACACTTCCCGCATACAAGCAACATGAGTTACATTGAAATTAAGAGTTTTACACACATAAGAAATAGCTATGTATAGAGTTCCCGTACTTATGTAAAACACGCATTGCAACGAATTTGTCCATAATTATGATTTTATCATGTTTATTGGAGTTAGCACATAGCACATGTATCAGTCGTAACACACATCATGCTTACTATATCTGTGTTTATGTAAACCGTCAATTTCATTGGATGTTATATTTATGAAATACCTGTTCTACGGGTATTCGTTTGAATCACACATTTGACCGAGTTTTCCTTTCTAAAGAAATGGGCGTTTGTCTACACACATATTATCCAGCATCATAATTACGTTCACACATCATTAGCCAGTACAACAGAAAATTTTACCACTTCAATGTGCTTCATTGTATTTCTGTTGTATAATTAGTTTGCCTGTACTTACACACATCATTAGCCAGTATATATTTCTGTTGTATAATTTGTTTGCCTGTATTAACACACATATTTCTGTTGTATAAATTGTTTACCTGTACTAACACACATCATTAGCCAGTACATATTTCTGTTGTATAATTTGTTTGCCTGTACTTACACACATCATTAGCCAGTACATATTTCTGTTGTATAATTAGTTTGACTGTACTTACACACATCATTAGCCAGTACATATTTCTGTTGTATAATTTGTTTGACTGTACTTACACACATCATTAGCCAGTACATATTTCTGTTGTATAATTTGTTTGACTGTACTTACACACATCATTAGCCAGTACATATTTCTGTTCACCAGGGAGGAGGAAGAAGAACATTCCTTTGGCTTCCCAAGCATTACACCCCCCTTGATCCACCCGTACAGCAACAAATGACCCTGAACTTCCGTTGACCTTTGGAATTTGTGTTTCAACACTCACTGCCATGTCAGTCCTTTTATAAATTAAATGAAATTTGTTAATTTCAAATGTTGATGTTAATGACTCATAATTTATCAAATATATATTATTTAAAAAAAAAAAAAAATTGAATAAAATAAAGCAGATGCTTAACAAGTAAGTTGGAAGAAGTTTAACAAATACAGCATAGAATTCAAATAAGGAATTAAACTGATCTTTTTATAGCTGCAAGTGCTTTTATTCCACATGCCACTGATTGGAAAGGGTATATACATGTATACTGAAAGTTTTCAATAAAGCTAAATGATGCTTACATTCTCCAAAAATACTTAAACATTTGGAATTTCTTCTAAGGATGAGCAAAATATTTGGTATTGAAACAATTAAGCTATGATATTCAGTGGGTATGAGGAAGGGTTTGTAAGAATGCATGAATGAGATGCACAAGCAAAGACCAACCTCTGTGTTTATCTGCAATGATGCAAAAATCACAGACATAAAATGATACAACAGAAGTGATAAATGAACTCTGCAAGTGGTGCATGAAAACAATTGACTAGTAAAGATGTTACAGATTGTTACAGAATAATTTTAACAGATGGGAAGAACAGAGGTGAAGAATTTACAGTACTGAAATTAACATGCCAGGAATGAAACATGAAAGTGTAAGCAAATGACGAAACAAAGCAACAGGAAGTTACCTACCAAGTGTTGTTTCCAATGAGATCGAGGGGGAACACAAGATTAAATATGCACCAATAGATAGGGGGGAAGGTGACAACCTGGGTGAGCACCATTCCATGACTAGGGTCATCTGATTTCCTGGTTTCAAACACACCCACTTGCTGAGCAAAAAGGTTTGGCTCTACGTTTTCTGCATACCCTGTTTATATATAACAAACAATACTGTGTTGTAAGACTTTTGATAGAATATAATATAGCTAACACTTTTCCACTGCTATTAATAGTTCTCTGAAAGTGAAAACATGTAAAAGTGAATGCAAATCTGGGGAGGGTCATACTCGATTTAATTTATGTTATCATTAAACTTTGGGGTAAACTTGAATTACAAAAGCAAGTGCCTGTTCTTGAAACCTTGTAATTGTCTCTTGATTTAGAACCCATATTTTATATATTTTAAAACAGAGTTTACTTGATAAGGAAGACACTTGTGACTATAAAAGAATGTTGAATGTACTGCAGAGGAAGGAATAAAACAGTCAGTATGTCAGGCAGCAACTGGAGGTTTGTTTGGGTGCAAGCAAGAAAAAATGATTTTAAAGCTAGAACAAAGAAAATTCACTCCATCAATTTCCCTGCCACTTACAGTATCACATTCGGAACACAGCACCTGAAGGACAAGGGGATTAACACTGAAGAAACAGACATGTGTTTGACACAGATAAATCAACTGTTTCAGCTCATAGGAGGGAGAGATGTATTTGCAATAGATGAACTTGAGAAAATAAATATCTTGACACATTTAACCCTCACAAACATGGAATTGCCAGTAAGCACATTTTGTTCAAATCTCGGCAAACTCCAGCTCTTATAAATAGGCAAGTGTTATGTGCATGTACTTTACACCTTTTTTCAAATTGTATATTCATTATTGCAAAAATTGTATTTCTTAACTTTAGTTTTAAATTTTTAAATAATGATAATTTAATCACTTTGATCAAAACGTGTATGTAACTATTTAAAAAAAAATTAATTGATCACCATGAGAATAACTAAGTCATGTGATTTACAAATAATGCATTCATTTAATAAATAGCAGGAAAAGTGTTTATGCATATAAACATGAACTATCTACATAGCTTACAAAATTTTTTTCAAAAAAACCTTTCAATGTAAAGAAAGTATAGAATGCATAAAAACTTTGTCACAACCAAAATGTGACTGAACAGTCCCAAAACAAGAGAAATAAAAAATTACAAGAATAAAACATTCATTCATCCCAGATGTATTTGTTAAACTTCTCCTTGCAAAGACATGGACAATTACCAGTTGTAGTTTCCTATAACATTGATGGACTTATTGGCTTTCTCTGCCTGACACCAAGACACTGGTAAATCCAACAATGTCTGCATAAGAACTTTTTCTCTGGCAGAGTCAGTGGATTTAACTATTTCATATGCCCCAGTCTGCTGGGCAAAGTTGTTAGGCTCAGAAAAATAGGCATATCCTGTACATGATAATTTTAAATAGCTTCCTTTGTATCATAAAATACTCATTAATTAATAGATTTTCTATTAACATGGTATTATTTTCTTTATCCAAAAAATAAATCATTTGAAAAATAATAAAATATATGAAAGTCCCTTCTTTTTTTGGAAATTTAACGCCTATAAAGTTATGGAAATCAGAACAACTTTTGGAGATACACATTCTCTCACCACATCTAAAACTCAATGGGGCCGAGGAAAAACTTTGATATGTCTGAGGACTTGAGATATTAAAGTTAAAATTAAAAAAAATGGTTGAGGCTTCCAATTCGACATATCTATGTAATTTAAGACATTGATGTGCAGGATATCAAAACTCAATGTATTTAATATAAAAATATGAAACAACAGGGTACCATTAAAGTTATCACTGTAAGGCAGAGGAAAGGGTTTGTCATCTGGAGAGTTTGGATACAGTCCCTTCTGTCCTGTTGACACTGTTGTTATGGTGACGACCTCATCAACATTTAGAGATATTTTTAAAATTCCTCCAATCACCTAAATTTTGTTCAAATTTAAATGCATGCATCAATAAAATGTTCCACAAAAAAGAAATTAAAGAGTAATTTAAACAAGAAGGTTAAAAAACATGACTACTTTTCTTGGCACCATAATTTGAACAAATCAAAATGGACTGTAAATTCCATAAGAAAAGAATTAGAATTTAGTAAGTTTATTTTTTTTCTTTTTGGTTTGAAAATTTTATGAGTCTACTCTTAAATGTACATATTGTGAAAGCGTGGTCTCCTGGATAAGGAGAAAAAGTAGAAAATATCAAAAAGTTTACAAACAAACAAACAGACACCATGGACATGTTTTTTCTTTTATCAAAAACACTAATTGAGTTTTTTGCTGTCCTGGTGAACTAAAATTATAAGGCTATCTTCCTAAGCTTTTGCGTAATTTTTTTCAGAGTACCTTACCTTCACTTGTCCTGAAGATCTGAAGAAATCTGATTTTGAGGAATTTGGGGCAAACTGAAAACTGCTCTTCCATAAATACAGAGATGATATGTTTGCCTGTAAAAAAAAAAAATCAAGAAAATTAAGAAAAACAATGTAACTCTTAATTTGAAAAGAAAAGCATTACCCTGGTATTTCCAAGGTTAATCTGAACATATTTTTAAAAACTGAAACAGTTTGACTTACGTAAGTTCCTTTGAGTTGTAATGTAATATTCTGAGGTTTACTTACGTAAGTTCCTTTGAGTTGTAATGTAATATTCTGGGGTTTGACGGAGTAGGGGGGAAGTGGGGGTCTAATGCAGATGGAATGATCATGGCTCTGAAAGGGAAATACATGGATATAGTTCCTAAATATTCATACAATCTCATGAACAATGTGACAATCATTTTTTTAAAATTAATTACAGCAAAAGAAGTCATAAACAATTTACCCCCCCCTTTTTTTTAAAAAATCACTATGTAAAAATCTGTATACACATGTATCACTCTTTTTAAAATTTAACAACCCAGAATCATAAAATGCACAGTGAATGAGAACACATACATGTAAAGCAAAACATGTAAATGATAAATACACACAAAACTAATCAATTTACTATAGTTAACGACGTTCGATCCTGATATTTAAAGTCTTAAACTTTTTTTGCCAAGTGTATTTTTAGTTTCTACATACATAGCTTAATTAAAATTCAAATCAAAAAATGGGGGTCAATACGCTTCTTTTGGCGCTACAGTACATTTAATATGACCTTTTTGCACTGAAATTTGTGTCTTAATTAAATATTAAATTTTTGACGTTTTCCTTTCAATATTTTTATCCAAATAAAGCATGAAACAAAATGAACTCTAAGTTTCTTTATAAAAAGACACTTAAAAATTGTGACTTAGAAAAAGTTTCAAATTGCTTCGCATAATCAATTATTTGACCTTTCTGCACTGATAAAAAGTGATTTTTCTGAAATTGAAAATTTTATAAGCAAGAAAATTATTTTAAAGTCTTAAACTTTTTCTGATTTTAAGCAAATAAGTCAACGTTATCTTGAATATTTAGAAAAGATCATCAAAAGCGGGGGTATATGATGTAAATTTTCAGATATTACTTAAAAAAGTGTCAATTTTACGTTAAAATTGGCTCAATCTTTTCCCGGATTTTCAGAATATATTTACAATATTTGTCACACTTTGTTGGTAGAATTCATAAGAAATAATTAAATAGATATTTCAGAACCAGCATAACACATTTCACTGCAAAAAACAGTTTTGTGTGCAACCAGGATTGAAAAATAGGAATCCAAAATTAACAGTACTGTTATAGTTCAAAATGGAAAAACTGATCATTTTCGTCTAAAAAACATTCCGCCACAAAATATAGTCCCTAGCTTAATTCTACTTGAATGGAATTTAATCGCAGTTTTTTCATTGAATATAGTTAAATTTGCACTGTAGAATTCAAATTTAATGTTAGAACTTAAAAATGATAAATAATAATAATAATAAATAAAGGACCTGACCAAAATAGGCTCAAAATCTCAGGATCAAACATCCTTAAAGATCATTTAATGATTTTCTGTCTTACCATGGTTTCTATGATGATGGTGAGATCTTTGTTATCAGGGCTGACCAGCGACACCATGCTCCCCCCACCCTGTAACCTACTGACCCCCTTGTCATGGGGGAGGTACTTCCAGCCAGGTCGTGTAAACTGTGTGGTATGGGCTGAAATAAAAAACCTCTCTGATGAGACTGTAGCTCTATGGGCTTGAACATTAAAAAATCTGGGAGAAAAGGAACTTTGACCTAAAACATTTCAGACCTTAGTTTTTCCCTGACATATAGTAACTTTACTTCTTCTACCTTGTGTTTGATAGAGCAAGATGCATGTAAATTATTTTATGTATTATTCCATTGTCAGTTCTAATTAAGTTTTATTTAAATCAGACAGACTGACAGACAACCAGAAGGATGAAAGACACTTTATCAATGCAAGAATTCTTATGATTCATTATTGCTAAGATCTAAATACTGTAGTCATACTTTTTTTCCACAGGTTATATTTCAGTGGAAAATTTATTTCTGTTCAATCTGGTAAACAAGATGTGTTTGTGAAACACTGATGCCCCCGTATGGCAACATAAGTAGGATTAAACTTTTCTTAAATGCAAATATTATATATTGGTACCCAAAGTAGGGTCTCCTAACTGGAAATACAATTGTAAAACATGAAAGCCCTATCACCATCTGTTCCCAAATTATGGCCAGACTAAAGTTTTTTCATAAGTACAGAAATCTTCAAGATCAAGATCAGAAGGTCAAGGTTATTGGTATCCAATGAAAAGACTTTCCACAAAGATTACATGTTTGAAGTATGGAAGCCCTAGCCCTAACCATTCACAAAATATGTCCCAGGTTAAAAAGATCTTAATAGTAAGTTAAACTCCAAGGTCAGAAGGTCAAGGTTATTGGTATTGAATGAAAGGTCTGGTCACAAGAATTACATATGTGAAGTATGAAAGCCCTAGCCCTTACTCTTCAAAAGTTATTGACAAGGTTAATCTTTTTTCATAAGTCCAGAAATCTCCAAGGTCAAGGTCAAAAGGTCAAGGTTATTGCCATCCAATAAATGCTCTTGCTACAAAAAAATACATATGTGAAGTATGGAAGCTCTAGCCCTAACTGTTCAAAAGTTATGACCAAGGTTAAGATTTTTTTAAAGTAGGCCAAACTCTGAGGTCAAGGTCAAAGGGTCAATAGGTCTTGATATCAAATGAAAGGTCTTATCACAAGAATTAAATATGTAAAGTATGAAAGCACTAGCTCTTACCCTTTAAAAGTTATGGTCAAGGTTTATTTTTCAAAAGTAGGTCAAACTCCAAGGTCAAGGTCAAACAGTCAAAGCTCTAGGTATCCAATGAAGTGTCTTCTTACAAGGATTACATATGTGAAGTATGAAAGCTCTAGATTTTACCGTTCAAAAGTTATTGCCAAGGTTAAAGTTTTTTCATTAGTACGTAAATCTCTAAGGTCAAGGTCAAAAGGCTGGTGGTATCCAGTAAAAGGTCTTGCCACAAAGAATATATATGTGAAGGATAAATGCCCTGGTATCTACTGTTCAAAAGTTATGGCCAAAGTAAAATTTTGATTTTTTTGTATTAAAGTGGGTCAAATTCCAAGGTCAAGGTCAAAAGGTCAAATTTGGTGGTGACCAAAAAAAGGTCTTGTCACAAGGAATACACAGGTGAAATATGAAAGTCACAGCCACTAAATCAAAAGTTATGGACAAGGTTAAAGTTTTTGCAAACAAACAAACAAACTGAGAGACAGACAGACAGACAGACGGACACGACAAAAACTATATACCCCCGAAACTTCATTTACGTTGGCATAAAAAATACCTGGATATCTTAAGACTCTCATTATATGCCCTATATGTTTTTTAAGTTTCGATGGGACAAATTTCCGTGGAAAGTTTGTGACTGCATACATAGCGTAAATTAATACATGTACCAAGAGGAAAAAAGTACTTCAGATCCACAGTATTTTATCTCCTTCATTTATTTAGATATTTAAATTCTAAATAATGTATTGGGCAAGAACTATACCTGTGACCCAGATAGGGCTTTCTACAACATAGTGTCCACTCCAGGGGGTCTCTGCGGTCATCAGACCATTACGGGGGAATGGTAAAGCTTCATAATAACTGGCAATCAGGTTCCAGGAAATGGTGCTACAATAACAATAATGGTCAATATATCATAATATGTATTATACTCATTTAATTTTATTACACTCTGAGTGCATTATCTGAATTTCAATGCTTCATTCAAGCCAGGGTTCTACGACTTGTAAAATTTAAAAACATTTGCGTTAATTTTATATGTGGTTCAAAGCAGTTGGGTTGCATTTTCAGAAATCAATTAAATTTCTGTATAATGACATGAAAAAAAAAAACAAATATAGGGGAAAGACCCTCTTTTTTCAATAATGAACAACGTCAAAGTAACAAATAAACAAGCTTTTAGCAAATGTGCATGTTGAAAAGGAATTGACATTTATACAGCAAAGTTTTTTTCAAAACATTTTAAAACTTAAGCATATAACTACAATTAGGCTTACAACATATCAAAATTGTCTATCACTGTGTTTTACTGTGAAGTAATCTCTCTTTAACCTTATTGTGGTGAGCATTAAATTGAGATGTTTATAAGTATTCTAGTGTAAGTAAATATTACCTGGTCATAAGTCCATTGACATAATTTTGGTTTACAATCTGAAAGAAAAATATTTGCAACACAGAACAAATAACAATCGAATTAACTGTACATTATTAAGTTAATTAAATCTGAATGAAGACTGATTGAAATCGGTTGATTCTGGAATATTATTACCTAATATCTGACTACAAGTTCTGTAATTTTAACATGCAATGAGGTGTATATAGCAAAGGTTGCCGTATACACATCGCCCTAATATTCGTTTCAAAATTCGAGGGTAAGAAAAGCAGTGTCTGCAAAATGTTGCTTGAATGGACTCACCCTGGCCCAGCAACCTCCCCCTACATTGTCATTAAATGTGGAATAGTCTTCAGATGACCAGAGTTGTGTCCCTTGTTTCTTAGCAAATTCTGGTGACAGAGTTCCGGGATAATGAACCCTGAAATTTTGTCAATTACACTTATATCCTTCCAATAAATAAATAAGACTGAAGCACTAATGGTGCTGTTTATCTCAAATTTTCTTTTTTTTTTTTCAAGAAAAATCACTAAATGTGTCCAGCTAAAAATTCCACTTATATGGCATACCTGTATACATTTCTATCTTTCAAGCTCCAATATCCAATTATCATTTTTTAAATTTATTGTCAAAAGGAGATAATTTACCCTACATAGTCCACGATTTTAGCCAGGTCCTGGTCTTTATTCATGTCATTTATTATTCCCCAGCCACTGTCTGAGGCCACGATTTTAGTCGGAGAAAATCCACGGGCATCAAGGGTCTTTCTCAGAGTCTGTAAAATAATGAATAGCATATGTAAGAGCCAAAAAAAAAAAACCAACATTCATAAAAATTTTCAATATTACCTGAAGGCAACTAACATTTTCCAGAAGAATATGTTAAAAGAATCAAATTGTAACTAGAACTGTCCAAACGAGACAAAATACCCCCCGCTGGGTTTTTTCAGAAGTAAGTTTTTCCATAATAAAGATATGTATCACACATGAATTATAAAATTTTTCTTCCAGTGACCTTGAAATTCCCCAAATGACCTTGGGTCAAGGTCATGACATACCCTTGGGTCATGGGCAATCTTTGTGTGAAATCAGAACCTACCAAGTTTATCAATAAGAAAGATATGGACCGGGCATGAATTATGAACTTTTTCTTCCAGTGACCTTGAACTTCTCCAAATGACCTTGGATCATGGTCATGACATACCCTTAGGTCATGGACAATCTATGCATGAAATGAGAACCTACCAAGTTTATCCATAAGAAAGATATGGACCAGACACGAATTATGAACTTTTTCGTGCAGTGACCTTGAACTTCCTAAAGTGACCTTTGGTCAAAGTCATGACACACCCTTGGGTCATGGGCAATCTTTGCATGAAATGAGAACCTACCAAATTTATCCATAAGAAAGATATGGACTGGACACGAATTATGAACTTTTTCTTCCAGTGACCTTGAACTTCCCCAAATGACCTTGGGTCAAGGTCATGACACATCCTTAGGTCATGAGCAATCTTTGTGTGGAGTAGTAGATTCTAATGTCCCTCCGTAAGAAAGATATGGACCGGACACGTTTGCACAGACAGACGGACAGCTAGACAGACGGACAGACGGTCAAGGTGATTCCTATATACCCCCCCAAACTTCGTTTGCGGGGGGTATAATAAAATGTTTAAAAACACCATAATTACAGTAAAGAAATATGAAATAAAATTTCTAAGCATGGTTCGGGCTCTGTCATTCTTTAGAATGCATGTAAATGTAAATTTAAATGTTAAAATTTTCTCTTCAAAAGCATTCAAATTGATGAATTTTTAAATATTTTTAAATATTATAAAATCAGTAAAATTAATACCTTTATATATTTAACATCATATGGTTTCTCATTCCAGATCTAATCCATGTAGAAATAAAAAAGAAAAATCTATATTAAACAGATATCAATAATTCTGGCAAATTCATGAAAATGATGCCGATATACATGTACAAATCACTGTTATGGGAAAATGTGAGGAAAACACATACTGCACTTCTCAGCTTCACTCCAAAATATCATTAGCATGTTGAAGTTGTCTATCTTTTACTGCAATTTATCCCTTTGGTTTGAGAAAGTTCACAAATTTAAATGAGCCACAAAAAAATAATTTTAAAAAAACTGTGCATGTGTGTTGTATCTGCATGGGGTGAATTTATTGACGTCTTTTGAAAAATTTCAAATCTTGTTTGTTTTTCTTATCTCTTAACCAATCACATTTAGCAAATAATTTGATTAATGCTTCTACATGAGAGAAGCTAGCCCTATAATTAGGAATGAAATTGGCCAGGGTTCCCATGGCAACACGTTGACTTAAGACCCACAGTATAAATGCAAGAATGACGACAATAAGGACATAAAATATCCTTATATAAAATTGTATAAAGCTGATATGACCCACCCCTATGAAGTCTATGGTTAGGTTATGGACCTCCTTTGCCCCTGTGACCCATTTCATGATGTAGTCAGCTGTCAGGGTGGGATTGTGGTAGGGATCTCGTGTTCCGTTCCCAATCCATCCCGGGAACGCCCAGGGCAGTCCATAGAGAAGGATGTCTGGATTCCTCTGTAAAATAAAATTTGATTGCAGTAAGAATGACAAGTCAGTCAGCCAGTGATCATGCACCCATAATACCCATGCTCTGATGTGAATATATACTCTCACCCCAAAGTTTTTTCCTAACTGTCAGTGAGAGATTAAATGTAAATTTTTTGGTTCTATGGGTCTAGTAGGACCACTGAATTCATAATTTTTATTCCCCATTCGCATACAGATACATATACAAAGTTAAGTGGCCATATAGAAGAGCCTCATAGTTTTTATGAAGTTGAAGATTCTTAAAATAAAAAAAATATTATAAGTGTGCCCTCAAAGTGCTTTATCACTGAAAGCTACAACTATAGTGATGATTTTAAGATAAAACTGACTCCATCCATAAATAAACTCTGAGAGAACAGCAGATATGTGGGCAGCAGTAGAACATTTTAAAATAAACAAACAGAATTTTTCCAAAACTCAAAAGAAATCAATTTAAGCAACATTTTTCTGAGCTACCTTTTTAGCTTCCTTTATAAGCCACCATTCATAGCCCCTGTTATAGTTCAGGTCATAGGGATGGTGCATGTGAGAGGATTCCGTTCCATCTGAAATTCAAATTAAATCATTCTTTTAGGTTAAGACTAATATTCTATTCAAATAAGAAAAATTCAAAATTAGAATCATCAATTCCCTATATCTTCAGTCTAAGCTAAATCATCAGGTTTCATTGCCTTTAGAATCTTTATATCTCAGTGTAAACTTCAGCTATTTTTTTCTTCATAAAATTAAAAAAAATGAAATAAACATAAAAAAGAGCCTTTTATTTGCATATAACTTACATGTATAAGCTAGAGTAGCTCAATGATTTTGGATACTTAAAAAATGAAAAAATCAAAGGTTTTCATTCATTTCATACACACAACAGTATATGTTCACCAAACTAACAAAAAAAATGATCATATTAGAACCTGTGCTCTGAGCATCTCCACCAATTTCCACCTTCAGTATGTGGAGTGAAGCAGCAAAATTAGGCTGAAATGAAGGCAGATGAAGCTAACTTATAGGCATTGTTTTCTTTCTAGCACATATACAATGTATCTATGATGCAAACCTGTAATGCTTAGTAAATCAATATCCAATAAAATCAGTATATTCTGAATTCTTATGATAATAACCAGTGGTGCAGGGCTAAAAATATTTCTACATGAAATTATCAAAAAAAACGTCATTTAAACACAAAGAAAGACATAGTCCTTAAAACTTACCTTGAAAAGGTAATCTAATATTTCATCCCTTTGTTTCTGTGGATAATTGACCAGAAGCCTAGAAGTAGCCTAAATGTAAAATTGATGAAAATTAACATTCTTGTAATTTAATATGCTAAAAAAAAGCTAAAGAGAGTGTGTTCTTTCTTTGATGATTTTCCATTATGTTACTTTTAAAAGATATCTGTCATGGAATCTTGTCATATATTTCTCCATTACTGAAATATGGCGTAGACTAAATAATCATTTTCATCTTATTCTTTCTTTTTTATGCCCCCATAATCAAACATTTGAAGGTATATAGCTTTTGCCCTCTCTGTCCATCTGTCTGTCTAGCTGTTTGTCTAGCTGTTTATATGTTTGGCAGTCTGTCCACAAAAACTTTAACCTTGCTCCAAACTTTTGACTGGGTGTGGCTACAATATTTCAGTGTAACACAGGTAATTTTCTTGTGAGAAGACCTTTCTTTGGGTACTACCTAGTTTGACCATTTGACTTTGACCTTGGAGTTTTATCCACTTTTACAAATAATCCAACCTTTAACTTTGGCCATAACTTTTAAACAGTTGGTGCTAGGCTTTCATACTTTACAAGTGTATTCATAGTGACAAGACATTCAATTGGTAACAATATTTTTGACCTCTTCCATTGACCTTACAGTTTGGTCCACTTTGAAAAGATAACCTTTGTTATAACTTTTGAACAGTTAGTACTAAAACTTTCATATATTTCACAGGTGTATTCCTTGTGAAAAGACCTTCCTCTTGATCCCAACAGTTTTGATCTTTTGACCTTGACTTTGGAGTTTGACCTTCAACCTTTGCCACAAACTGCCATATGGGAGTAGACAAATGGGCACAAACATGGTACACCCCCAAATATTTCAATATAGGGGCATAAAAATTTATTGTGGAGGTCTTAGCCTTATCAGACACTTTATATATGGTTCAGTTAACAGTCACCAAAAAATTGAAATGTTCAAAAAATTAATAAATGATGCATGGACTTCAAACATGACATGCATGCAATGCCATACTTGTGCATGTAAGAGCTGACAGCAATTAACCTAAATGACTTTGGTTACCTTAATTCTTCATGTGGATAAATACATGTACCTCTATCTGTATTTATACCTTTGACAAAGATCAGTAAACAGTAGATATTCTATAATAGGATACCTTAAAGTTAGTTTACAGTGTATATTTACACTTATGGTGCATCTTGACCTCTCAAGTCAAGAGTTAGATAGTAAATGAAAATGGACTTTGGTTCACGCTATCAATTTATGTTAGGAAACTTAAGCTTACTTAAGATACTGCTTAATCACATTTGCAACCAATCTACATGACCAAGGCATCAATACAAGAAGTAAAAAAGCTTAAATTTTCATTTCAATTTGTTTTCTGTTTTTATGGATATGGAATAAGATGTAAAATGTCTTTCAGCAGTGAAACAGCCAAATAGAAGACAAAATGAAAAAAAAATCCTGACCCACTTATGAAATGAATACCATATCCATCTGTAAAACATTGCATTTTATTTGATTTTCTTTCACTTTGAGATAATAACCTAGGAATTATGAGACTGAAAATTAAAACACGGTTATTAGCTATGCAGAGAATTTTTGACAGTTTTAGTCTATATGTCAGGATAGTTTATTTACTCTTGCCGTCTTATAACAAGGAATATTTTATTTATACAATTCTCCATGAAAGGAATGAAAAATAAAAGTTTTGTGGTACTTTTGATTCTTTGGCTGTAAAATATCACTTTCATAACTATTCACTCTTATTATGTTCCCCAAACAAAGTTGGGGAACATATTGTTTTTACTCTGTTTCTTATTATGTTCCCCAAACGAAGTTGGGGAACATATTGTTTTTACTCTGTTTCTTATTATTATTATTATTATTTTTCTTCTTCTTCCTGGGTACTTTTTTGTCCGGGAATGATCTCGTAAACTATACATCCGACTAAGGTGAAATGTTTTTAGGGTCAGTAGACATGTTATGTAGATTTGCGGAACGAAGGTCATTTTGCGCGCACGTGCTTGCAAGAGCGTGCACGTGCAACATGTGTAATGACCGATTTAATTGATATAGGCGTAACTTTTTAAATTTTTGATGAAATGCTTTGAAACTTATAATATAAGGATATATTAGTAGCATAGACAATATGACATGGTCAAAATAGCAAGATCTCACGCGCATGCACGTGCGCTTTGCTCTGATTGGCTGAAACTAAAGTCTCAATATCTTTCTTGTTTTTTGACGAAATCCTTTGAAATTTTGAAAATAGCCATGCATTAGGATATCCTACAACATGATATATAGCAATTATCATGAAAACACGTGCATGCACGTGCGCTGCAATCTGATTGGCTTAAACTTTAAATAGCTATAACTCCCTTGATTTTCAACCAAACAGGATGGGATTTGGAACATAGATAGATATACTGGACTACTACAAGAAAATATGGTCACCATGCACATGCATACACGTGCATGTATGTGCGCTGCAATCTGATTGGCTGAAACTTTAAACAGCTATAACTCCCTTGGTTTTCAACCAAACGGGGTGGGATTTAGAACATAGATAGATGTAACGGACATCTACAAGAAGGTATGGTCACCATGCTCATGTATGCACGTGCGTGCACGTGAAATGAGCAAAATAAAAAAAAACACTTGAATGAGCGTATCTTTTTAATACTTTTGGATTAAATACTTTAATATTAAGTATATTAAAATATATAGATTGTGTAGACAAGATGATATGGTCATTACGCACATGCATTCACATGCGCACGCAAAATTTGAATGAACTTGGTACAATTCTGGGTAAACGTTATTAAAGTCTTAAATGCATCGAGTTTGTCTTATTTAATGAAGCTTACAGGGAATATGGCACCAAAAGGGAGTTGGGGAGCGTTTGGGGAACATCTGTAACGGTCCCCGTTACAATTAGCACTAGTTATTATTATTCTTATTATTTTTCTTCTTCCTGGGAAAATTTTGTCCACGAGTGATCTTGTAAACTACACATCCGACTTAGGTGAAACCTTTTTAGGGTCAGTAGGCATGTTATGTAGAGTTGCCAAACAAAGGTCATTTTGCGTGCACGTGCTTGCAAGAGCGCGCACGTGCAACAGGTGAAATTACCAATATAATGGATATTGCCGTAACTTTTCTATTTTTTGATGAGATGCTTTGAAACTCATAATGTAAGGATACATTAGTAGTATAGACAAGATAGCATGGTCAAAATAGCAAGATCTCACGCGCATGCACGTGCGCTTCGCTCTGATTGGCTGAAACTAAAGTCTCAATAACTTTCTTGTTTCTTGTCATAATCCTTTGAAATTTTTAACATAGTCCTACATTATGAAGATCTACCGCATGATATATAAGAATTTTCATGAAAGCATGCGCATGTGCGCGTGCTGCAAGCTGATTGGCTGAAACTTTAAATGGCAATATCTCCTTTGTTTTTTGACGAAATTCTTTGAAATTTAAAATATAGTCATGCATTAGAATATCCTACAAAATGATAAAGAAAAAAAAATCATGAAATCACGCGCATGCACGTGTGCTGCAATCTGATTGGCTGAAACTTAAAATGGCTATTTCTCCTTTGTTTTTTGACGAAATTCTTTGAAATTTAAAATATAGTCATGCATTAGGATATCCTACAAAATGATATAGAAAAATCATGAAATTACGCGCATGCACGTGTGCTGCAATCTGATTGGCTGAAACTTTAAATGGCTATAACTCCCTTGTTTTTCAACCAAACAGTATGGGATTTAGAACATAGATAGATGTAAGGGACTCCTACAAGAAGGTATGATCATCATGCACGTGCACGCACGTGGGTGTGTTTGAAACGAGTATATTTAAAAATACTCTTGAATGAGTGATTTTTATTACTTTTGGACTGAATGCTTTAATATATAGTATATTAAAATATATAAATAGTGTAGACAAGATGATATGGTCATAACGCACATGCATTCACTTGGGTGCAATGCTAAAAATTGAATATAATTGGTATCCTTCTGGGAAAACGTTGTTAAAGTCAAAAATGCACAGAGTTTGTCTTATTTAATGAAGCTTACAGGAAATATGGCACCGAAAGGGAGTTTGGGGGCGTTTGGGGAACATCTGTAACGGTTCCCGTTACAATTAGCACTAGTTTAATGTAAAAGTCAAGTTTTTCAATACTGAAAATACAATGAATATACTCTAAATCTTTATAAAAATTCACAACCAAAATGTATGATCCTATACATGTTAACGTACTGTGTTCAAAAAAGAGGTAGTCAGAGACTTAGACCTCTAAAGAGGTAGCATTTCGCAAGATATGTTTTACGTAAGGGTTAATGTACGAGTAGTGCTCCATTCCTTAAAAGTAATGGAGCCGGGGCCTCAAAGTATATTAACCCGCGTAAAATCCGCATTTTTAATGCTTTTATTTATTGTTCGTTAATATAAAATAAAGAATATTTATACGATACACTTTAAGGATGTACAACACACCTACCCCAAAAAATTCCTGTCGTTTAATTTTCGTTAATTTTGTAAATTTAGTACATGACTATATCTACTGCATATATGCACATTTTGGACAAAATCGTTCGAGTGGTTTTTGGACAGGAACTTCCAAAAGTTACCCCCCTTTAGTTGTTTACAAGGAGAGAAAATTTTTAATCAATGAACTACTTAAACCTTGATTTTCAAAAAAGCCAGGTTAGATATAAATACCAAATTTCATTGGCTTATTCCTTTAACCATTTAACACAAAAACATAGTCATCTTTTTGATATACATATCATTAAAATAATTTTTAAAGACCTTAAACTGAAAAACTATGAATTATCTAAGCCTTGAAAATTGCGTATTTTTCAAATTCAAAATTTTTTTGTGAAAAAACCTGTCGTTTAATTTTAGTAAAAAACTTTCTTTAGGTAGCTGGTAGTAAAAATAATCTTCATAATTTTTTGTATAATTTTTGTACGACCAGTTTTGATTTAATAGCGGAAAATTACCCCCTCCCCCTTTCTCAATAAATCACGTTCCCGCGCGTCTTTCAGACGGGGGTCGATCACTTTGTTATATGAATCTGCAAATACACATTAAAAAATTAAATTGGAACATTGCTTTTGCTTCAGAAATATATTAACTTACAAATTTAAAAGTTCTCATATGTAAAGCGTATTTAAATGTAGATTTTTTAGGCAATTTTTGAATACCCCTATCACCCCCACCCCTTTCTTTTTTGCGTCGCAGACCATTAGCGTTTGACGAAACGTCGTTTACAGTGCAAATATACTGGTATTTCGTCATTTGAATCCCGGAGGTATGCATTAGTTTTTAAATTCATGAATGCATAATAAATATTGACTACTCTTTTTATATGTATCAGGAAAAATTACTGAAGGATTTTAGTGTTTAGTCCATATATGTATGCGTTATGCGTTCCATATCACATGAAACCTGGATACGAATTCAAGTTTTGTTGAACTTGAATATGTTGATTTTTAATTTTATTTCTTTAATTTTATTCATTAAAAAATGGTGTATGTTCAACTCTCCGTTGATATAAATGGAATAATTGTAGTTTCTTTCATGTCATTATTTCAAACGAGACAGTATGTGGCCGTGGGGATACATCGACATTTGCATAGATGTACACCCCTCATGTTATTGTACGCATTTCTTTCAATGTCGTCACTACTAAAGTTAAATTGAAAATTCCGTATTCGTCCACATTAACTTCAAAATATCAAACATTAAACTCTTCATCTATTTCAATTTATATCAAATCGCACTTTGATATTTCTTAAAATCTTATAGGCTACGTTTTGTTTTGGTTCGAGGAAATGCGAACCGACATTGTTGACAGAAAGTCAAACGATTTGCTGCAATAGCCGAATAGGATATTTATAAATGCAGATAATTTCAGTACAAGTGAACAATTCTTTTCAATTCTATACTTACATTGTGTATATGAGGTCTATAGTATTCAATTCTCGGATTAATATCAGGTCTTGCTGTAAATGTATCTGATTCTGTGGAAAACCTTGAATAAAGGGAGGAAAATAAACATCTCCTACATTTTCAGAGTTGTTCCTCTTTGATCAGTAAGGGTCTGAGAACAATCATCGATTTTACATTGTAAAAAGGTTCTTTGTTTATTTATTGTTTTTTTAATTTAAAGAATTTCTTTGAAAAACAATATTTATATCGTAAAAAATTGTAATGAAGATTATCCATTAATCGGAATATTATATAGCCAATTGTACATAATGATTAATTATATTTCGATTTCAATGTAAAAAAAATTTTCAGAAAAAAAAAAAGCCTGCGAGATTTACATGCAAAAATACACTTTATTGTTTAAAATGAAATGAAATAAACATGCATATTGGCCTCCTTAGCTCCTGTCCTATTCATTTGCGAAATTTACATTCTTGTAGAGTTACCAAGAAATCAAGTCTTCTAATTTTCAATGAGTTATCAAAGAGAAACCAAATTGGAAATGGAAATGCATTTATATAATATAACACACCGAAAACAGTAATATCACTCTACCGGGCTTCATTCCATTTCCAGAATTTTTTGAAAATTTCAACTTTTCATTTTACTCGTCGTTTTGACGTTTTATTTTTTCCGTTTTCAATTTTCATCTCACGTCAAATTTTTTCAATTGTTTTTTTTTTGTTTTGTTTTTTGTTGTTGTTGTTGCTGTTGTTGTTGCTTGTATGTTTTTGTTTTTTGTTTGTTTTGTTTTTTGGTAATGAAAGCAGATTGAAAAATTAAGTTATGAGGAAAAAATTGTACTATAAGTTATAATTAATCAACTGTTTTCCAGCAGCTTCAATGCTCATTGACACTTAATTTAGAGAACATTAAATGTTATATAAGAAAGGAATACATGCTCATTGAACTGTTTAATAAAATTTTCATAATGTGAAAATGTATATATAAAATTTTTATATGAAAAGCAAAAAATTTTCAAGAGTTGTTGTAAATTGTGCTTTAGAGGCAATAAAATTAAATTCAAGAATATAAAATTTCCAATAAAACAATGAAATTTGTCTCTCTCTTCTATTCCTGAAAAGTAATGGAGTGCTCAAACAAAAGAATCACCTCACAGGTGGATTTTATGCAGGGATTAAAGAATTAAATATTTTAGTAAATATGGCCTTAAATGACCATACAAACTCAAACATCAACTGCAATGAAGTTAGACAAAATAAAAAAAAAACACCTTAAGTTTGACATAAGTTAACATACAAATACAATTATAAATATGTTTCATGCTCATCTCTTTGGCTTTCATTTGCTGCTTAATTAAGTCTTTTGAAGACTTCAAGAATGATCTTTGTTGAATAATCATTCAGTTGTCAAATAAAATAGATGATGACATTAATCTTGTTTAATTCAGATTAAAAAAAACATCTTTTGTTAAAAAAATGGATTTCTTGCCATGATTAAAAACAAAAATAATAAAAATGCAAAAAAAGTATTACAATTTAATCAATGCTAATTACCTATTTTATGTTTATGGACTATTAGGTCAAAACTATTCATTAAAATCTAGAATACTGTATCTCCCTTCTAAAATTACTATCAAAGTGAACCAAATTTGGTTTTGTACAAAAGAAGTAGATTAATGAATAAAAGCTGTAAGCATAAGAATATATGAAAAAGTGGTAGACCTCTGCCTACAGCACTGGCTAAATGTAGGAGAGAGCTTCTAGCAGCTAAACTGTAATGAAACATGGTTTAAGACAATGACTCAGTCTCTCAATGTACTTGCATTGTAAAATCACATATTTTCATGGGGACAAATTTTTGCGATTCAAGGAAATACTCTTGGTTCATGGGGATTTGATTTCGTGGCTGAAGAAATGATTTAGTAGCTATGCATTTAATATTTTACATTTCAAGTTGGACATGAATTTGTTGGTCTCTTCATACCTCAAAAGCAAAGAAAATTAAGCCCCACGAAAATTAGCGCTTTCACAGTATAATAATCAGATAATGATTGTAAATAAAATGTATATACTCCTCCTCCACTTAGTCCCCCAATGCCATCAAACCGTCTCCCGTACCCTGCACTGTCGTCTAGTATGTAGGTCTCTGATGCCGCCCCTGATACATACACTGACAAAACAGGAAGGAGGACTAGGAGCATCATGGCTAATACAAGCTGGTGCCTACATCCAAAATAAAAAAAATCAACGTAAGTTCATTTGTAAAACTGGCCCCAGGGACCTGTATATTGGCTCCATTTTGAAATCGTGTTTAATAAGTAAAACAAAAAGGTGTTTTCAATATTCGAGGTAAAAATATTGTTGAGTATGAAATGTTCCATTTCGTAACTTAAGAAATATACATAATACTTGTATAAAACTCGTCAATAAACTTACCTGCTAGATATGGGATACAGCTGTACTTTATTTCAACGACTGCAGACCATAGCGTACAATATCACGATTTAAATCCTGTTAACATTCAGTTCAAGTTGTGGGAAGAAAAAAAATCACGTGAATCAAGCAGGATGTTTTTATATGAATACTAAAAGAAGAAACCAGTTCTCATTGGCATATTTTTCTCCGGGGATCTCAAATTAAAGTTATTGGATATAATCATATTTAATATTTTCGGTATAAATTCAACTTCAAAAATGTTTGTAAAATGTAACAAGACAAAACAAAATCATTAATTTAATGGATGGAAGGAGATATTAGTTAGATTCTCTTAAAAATTGTTTTGAAAATCATTTTCTCAATAGATCAATAGATACTATACATGTATGCATATTCTTTTTCTTCTTCCAATAAAGTACTGATCAGGAATTTATTTAATAAAAAATACTGAAATATTTTTATGGATCTCTGTATTTTGTAAATTAGTTTCGTCAATTTTTATCTATAAAATGACAATTTGTCTTCATGCATAATTAATATGTTAAATTTATTCAGTTATATTTGACCATATATTTTTTTTATTACGAACAAGCTTTGAAAAGAATCTGTTAGTAAATCTTCTACCTCGGTCTAATTTCAGACAATACAAATATGTAAACCACGCATTCTCAATTTATAGTCTCAATTCGCTTTAAATAATGTACCGCGTTTTAAGTAATATAATATTTCAAATAAATTTTATTTTCTGCCAGTCTTACGAACCTTTGTTGGTTGTTGATTAAAATACAATTGTTTCTTGTAGCTTGAATGATTGTCTTAGGAGAAAATCACATTTTGTAGCAGAAATCGATATTTACGTTACTGTCGCCGATCATCGTGTAGTTTTTTTTTTTTAACCAAAAATAATTTTTAAATCATTAAAATATCTTTTTGTTAGTAAGATTGTCATACATTTGAGTTATATTTTCTGAATATCACTCCCTTCACACATATGCGTGTCACAGATTTTTAAAAATGTTAATATATTTATCAAATTTTGATGTCATCGCAAAATTATTACTTTTCTATTTGGAAATTCAAAAGGACTGGAAGGAATGATGAACTAACTAAATAGGACTAAGTTGTAACTTTTTAACATCATTTTTATTGCATGGAAAGGTAAAAAAGACACTGTTTATCTGTGTTTATGAACAATAGCCCCCCTTTTCTTATAAGTCCAATGGTTAAAAAATTCAACGATATTTTTTGGACGTGTTAGTATTTATTCACAAATTAAGTAAGAGAACTACACTGTCCCCGTATGGGCCAAATTGCCTTACACTCAAACGCACTAGAATATGCCTTTAATTAACAGTGGAATAATTGAACAATGGCATTAAAAGTTACGATAAATCTCAGAAAGATATTTACGTTACCGATATTTACGTTACCGATATTTACGTTACCATGTTTTAAAGTAAATAAGTATTAATTTCTAAATCTGTTTGAACAGATTTGCGAGTGAATCTTTATGATGTAAATACTAAGAACATGAAGAAATATACACTGTTTCTGAAAATGTCATTTTTTCTGTAACAAGAGTGCAGAAATGCAAATGGAAGTGCACATGCAAAGGTGAACATTTTTACCCAATATCTTGTGCATCCGTGTGATTTGAAAATTGAATTGACGTAATATTATTCACAAGTAAAATCGTGGTTTAATGATTGAATCTTTCCATTTTGAGCAATTGGTTAATATTGCATATTTTCAAGTGTAAGGCACGTTATCATTCGGAACGTAAATCTGAAACAAAACTTTCTTCAAGTCTGTATTTTGCTGTTTGTTTGAACTGATAGTGATCGTCAACTTTAAAAAATGGTTATATACACTTGAATTGTATACCAAGCTAAATATTTTGAAGAAAAAAATATCATTTTTGTAGGAAATATAATTCCAGAAAATAGGCGATGCGTTGCATGAGAGTGGGTGGGGGGGGGGGGGGGGGTTTATACATCGGGTAAAAAAACAAAAACGGCTGTGGGTGTGTGTGTTAAGATACTGGTTGAAATTGAATCCATTTCCATTTTTGTTACTTTGCAAGAAATACATTTATTAACATGTATAAAATTTGCACCTAATTTTTCCCATTTGCTTTGTTGCATAGACATATGACTTAGGAGGTATGCGTCTATACTTTAATGGTACTGAAAATTTAATTTACGTTATATGAACGTAGAATTATATTGCTCTATAGAGCACATGTGATGTGCAACTGTAATTATTGACAAACTTTTTAAGGGTGGTGGGCGATCTTTGTTTTATTTTTGAGATTTGACGATAAAGTTTTCACAAACAATTAAGCATTTCTGGTATGTAGCAACAAGGGGGGGGGGGGGGGGGGGAGCAGTCCCACCCTGCCCCCCTTTTTCTTCCAGCCTTACTTCAACTTCAGTAAATGTTCAGTGAAAGGCTGGTTGCCCCCACCCCCACTAATAGTGATGTACGGAAAATATATTGTAATAAGTGGTACTGAATGTATAGTTGGCATTGAAAAAAGTTCGCCTCCCCCTCTAGGATTTTCTACTTTGAGCAAGTTTTCTCACCCTGCCCCCCCCCCCCCCCCCGCCCCTTTTTTTGCCTTGTCAACTTTCCAGGTTAGTAAAAAAAAATTCTCTGGCTACCCCCCCCCCCCCACACACACACACACATACACTTTCAAAAACGATGCTATGTGAATGACTCCATTTGAAATAATCAACACTCAACAGATTAAATGGTGGAAGGGGGGGTGTGTTATGAATTACATGAGTCCTCTATAGATAAATCATTTATAACTTGAATTTTCAATTCAACCCTTTGTAAGAACACAGATTAGAAAATTCATAAAATTCAATAATTTGAAATAATATAATCATTTTTCCCCCGAATATACTTTTATTTTTGTATGATATCTATGTGCGATATTTACGTGATATTTAACAAACACTTCGTAATCAGGTAATGGCGAAATATTTAACCTTTTTATATTCTAAATAATGTGAGTTTCTCTGAGCAGATTAATAAAGAATCAATTAATGTAGCATTTTAGGGAATATTATCATTATTAAGCTTATCATCGAATGTGCTAAAACTTGTTGAAATAAAAAGAAAATAATTTCATTTAAATGAAAATTATGTCCGTTTTATTTTTACTAATAATTGAATCAAAGATTGTACACCCCTTTTACAAATGTGCTTAAACGTTTCATAAATGTTTATAGTTAACAAAATTTGATGTGTATTATATTAATTTTGTATTTTAAAAAAAGTCTTTCGTTTCCAAATATGGCTTTTCAACATCACGTAAATATCTTGGTGTAAAATTAGCCCTCCAACCGCTTTTATTTCGAAGGAGGCCAACAAAACAATGCATGAAGTATGTAAATCAAATTGCGATTTTTAATAACTATACACTTTCATGTTTCAAATGACGTATAAAAGTGTTAATTTCAGTTCACTAATTTTTTTGACTTTTCCCAAGATCGATTTGTGACTATAAATTGAGAATGCGTGACTGTACATGCTGGGTATAAAACACCTAGACCTAGATAAAATCAAGTGTCCATGGGAAGTAAGCATCCCCCGTTGACCGTTCACACTCGCCGCGACCCCCGCGATGTTAACGGAACATTCCATAATCAATCAAATTCAGTATATCCCCTGTATTAAACACAAAGGTCTGACTATTGGTGTGATATAAGTCAGTCAACATATGACACATTGATATATTAAAGAAGATCCTTATAACTACCATTAATTTCAGGAAACTGAGTTGTTGAAATTCCTGTTACACCAACTTATGTGTAAGTTGTCTGCATCCGTTCAAAAATTGAAAATGCTACATAAATAAGGAAAGATGTCGATGGAAAAGTTGAAGTCATCTCCTTTGTCAAAAACTTAGTTGTCAGCTGGCCTTTGTCGTTTTATTCCTTAAAATATCCAAATATGAAGCAGATGTGATACACTGTCACATTGGTGCCTTTTATTCAAGTTCACTGGAATGTATGTAGTGAAATGAATGAAAGTACCCTTTGTTAATTGATAAAACTTTGTGTACAAGTATCATACATGTGTATATCTGTTTTGTAGTTTTTTGTGAAGTTTTTGAATGGATTCTCTCTCATCAATCTGATCTAAGATATCATTAAATAGGAGAAAATATATTAAACCATAATATCCAGTACAATGCAATTACTTTTTCATACAACAGTATACCCAGTAGTCTACAGAATAGGGCTCTTTGAATTGGTTGACTACAATATATCTGCATTTCTGTAAACTGGTCGCCATTTTGCATATTTATATAATTATATGAGCAAAGGGATTATTATTATAATTATAAAAAGTAATTGACATTCATACCAGGGAAAAAAAACTTGTGATTAACTGGGTCAAATTCTAAAGCATACGCTTTTCTGTTAATTCATCAAAACACCTGCAATACTTGTAGATTGATAAGCGAATGACAATCATTATATATTGACATTGTGACTTAGATAAGATTAGTAGTGCATGGTGGACTTCTGTGCACGCTGACCTTAGGGGTACCAAAACTATATATTGGTAGCTAACTGGGATAATGGCGTACATCTTTATTTTGGTGTTAATCTTTATAACGAACTTATCAAATCTAAAGGTAAGCATAAAACGCACAAAACCTTTAATTTAGAAATGAAAGACTGCATGATACCTTAAATTTTATTTAAAGCTAAAGAATGATTGCACTTAGTGTACAAAAAGTGTTCCCCGATAATTTGCGCAAAAATAAAGTATAGAAAGTAACATAATGAGATTAATAAATAATTCTTCTAGGTCTATAAATCGCAACTTTGCAAAATTACAGAAATTAGAAGTGAGTAAAAATAAAGAACGAGGCTGTGTTTTGTAAGAGGGGTTAATGCAAATCATGAATCTCTATTGATATTCAAAGTTTTTCTGATTTTTAAAGCTGGAATACATGGTGAGCGCATTGTTGCCCAAATTTCTCAAAAGGACAGAAGGTGTAGAACTGTTGGAAATTCAATATATTTAATGGAGACTTGGGCAAGCCTGCGCTCGGGGTAAACTTTTTGAAAAAAGGTACAAAACGCCGACCGTTTTCTTCACTATTTACGGATATTTACATGTCATTGACCTCATTGTGACCTGTTTAGTATTCCACTCAGGTAACTTTGTGAATACAAAAAATTCAATAAATCACGTGGCGTAGCTCCGATCAACAATCCGCGAAAAGTGTCCAAGTTACACAGTTATATGTAGATTTTCAATTAATTAACGTCGAATTATTTTCTTTCGGTCAGGTATCTTTAATAGGGTAATGGAATATTAAATTGGACAAAACGAATTAATTGTTATTTTATTTTTAGCCGGGCTTTGCTGAAAGCAAAGTCCTGGCTTTAGGCATCATGATCGACTGTCTTACTATAAATAGCCCAGTAAACAAAAAACCAAACAGCGTCAAAGCGCTTCCGATAAACAAAATACATGTACATGTACTGTAAAAAACGAGCTCCTACTGTATAATAGTCGTCTTCAAATAACAGTTTATCAATCGACAGGGTATAATAATTTACGGGTGATTTGTGGGTGATAACTTATTAATAAGAAGCTTTCGAGTTAATTTTCACAATTCTCTATATATACATGTATGGTCCCTCCCGCCCTACTGATTAGGGTGCCCCTTTGACCCCCCCCCCCTATCTGCTGATGCAGTTCTTTTTTCCTTAAACTGGGGACACAGATTTTCTGAATCAGCGTGTACTTTATCTCATAAATGACCTCCTCTTTTCTTGAAATCCGCCTTTGTTTTTTTTCAGATTCTGTTTTGAGGAGACGTCATTAAAATGCATTAATTTTGTCAGCTGTTTACTGGCAATTTGTTTAAATATTAGCTAATTAGTATTAGATCTGGGTTTGTCCTATGCAGTTTAACTTTTAATTTCTTAGGGTTTCTATCTATTTTCCTATAAATAATCTGGTTTAGTTTTTTTTTTTTTGAAATTCATTAAAATCTCCCCTTTGATACAGGCCGAGGACTAGTGGAATGTCGCAAAGAGTTACATATATATGTAATCTGAAAGTAAAGCATAATGCTGATTTTGAAAAAAAAACACACAAATGTTTTGCTTCTGATATATTCATATCCCCGCTTGAAAAGCGGGGAGGAGGGGGTTATATAGTAATCGGTATGCCCGTCCGTCTGTCTGTTATGCTTTGGGGTATCCATCTCTTATCCGCAACTCCTCTTATACCACTGAGTGAAATTTAATGAAACTTTCACAGAATCTTCATTACATATTGCCATAGTGCACCTCCTATTTTACTTTTTGGTCCAACACATATTTTGGGTTTCTGGGCCACAGCAAAACATGGACTTTGCCATACAACCATATGGGAGGTGGAGGGTAGCATTTAGTGAGCTCACTGCTCACAATACCTCTAGTTTCTTTCAGATTTAGTTTTGACGAGACGTCAATTGATACAATACATTTGTAAGCTTTATACCGGCAAACTTTTTCAATATTATGATTTGAACTGGGTTTGTACTTACATGTATTAAAAAAGTTTTTGCATCTCTTTTCGAATAAATAATCTCATTTTTATATCTTTCAATTTAAGACCTACTATCATTCCACTAACAGCGTGTCACTTTGCGTGATCGAGCGTGCTGATTGTTTCACACGTCGATAACCGTATTACTCATCGATTGGATGTTTGATTTCAATGAAAGCAAAACTACGTATTATTTAGAGTACGAGTTTCTTACTGTATCAGAGATACAGGGCGGGGCTTGAGGCGAGAGCGAGAGCTCGAGCCGGGCCCCGCCCTGTATCTCTATATATGTAAGAAAGTATTCTAAATGACTTGTGACATGACCTTTCTAAGGACCTCACTAATTTACATGCGTATTTGTGTGTATACCTCCCAACCAATCAGATGATTTTGTAGAAAGTTGATTTAGTATCCCATTTTAAGCATTCTCAACTGAAATCCGGGTGAGATGGACGTGCAGGTATCTATCATTTTAAAATTATTTAAGGGATGCATAAATTAATTTGTTTTCCAAAAATTTTATTTAGATTTGATTGCGCAGGGTTTTTTTTCTCTATGCAGCTCTTGCTGACATTTTTTTTCAGTTTTTAAGCTACGATTTAATGCAAAACATTTTGATATATAAGAATCATGTGGGAATATTTTTGAAACAAAAATGCTTCGGGAGATCGTAGATTCTGAGAGAAATGTCCGACAATGTCCTATACCGGTCGTCATATACAAAATTGAAATAAGCAGATGAAAGGAAAAGGGGGGGGGGGTATTTTACCTTCACGTTTTCATTAAAATGTAGAGTAACCAAACGGGGATACAGCACTCACTGGTGCCCCCATCCCACCTTTGATTTTTTTTTCTTTTTCGCTTTCTTATTTTTTTTCTAAACTTGTATACATACGGTTTTTAATTCATCAACAAGTAACGAAATGACCACATAGGTGTTGGTTGATTATAAATCTACCCCCCATGGAATACGATTTTCCGTTTTTTTTTTTGGGGGGGGGGGGTTTCAAAGTAATAATTTGTGAACTGCCCCACTCCCTCCTTTCTAAACTTTTTGAATCCGACAATAATACCTTATGTTGTAAAATTTTATTTTTAATTCACCTCAATTTTTGAGTAAATACTAACAGTTCTATGGCGAATTGAACGACTGGTATGTCTGTATACGAATACAGCTTTCCGTCATCGCTAAAAATAAACCGTACTGTATCGTTGATATTTTGCAGATACAGTACAGTGTCTGCTCATTTGCATAAGAAGCGCCCACAAAAAGTGTTCTGTATCGCAGTTACAGTATGCTCGACTTCAAAGGAAAACTCGCCGGGTCATGTCACAATTTACATATGAAATACAAAAAAAAAAACCAGCAATCATTATACCACTTACAATACTAACCAATCGTATTGAAGTGTGGAAAGCTAAGTTTTAATCCCTATAATGATGATATTGCCCGCTCTAAATATAACATATATAGCATGATAGTTTTGAAATATAGCCTTAATTATTTCATGCTTTAAATTTTCTCATACGAATCAAAATTAACTCCATTCGTTTAGAACAGCTAGAAAACGGGCTTGGACTGACAACGTGTTACTACAAATGCCGCACTGGTAAACAGTCATTTAATATGATTGGCCAATATTATCGAGCTATTCAATATGATTGGACAATGTTATCGTTGGATTAATACTCTGTGTTTCATATGCAAAGTAGCATTGGTTTCATTCAAATCAAACATCCAATCGATTTATGAAATTTTACTACGGTTGATCAAACAAATTGACACGCTGTTATTGGAATGATAGTAAATTACAGGTGTATTTGGTTTTTCCTTTCTATCTGGAGGACATTTGAATGATTAATTAAATTTAGTCCTATTACTTGATGTATTTTGCATGAATTATTATATAATTTAAATCTGAGATGAATTACAATAAATTAACAAAGATTACCAAAAAAAAAAAAAAAAAAAAAAAAAGAAAGGATTAAGATGAATCTATATGTACATATATATTCATAAATATTCATAAATTGTATTTTTATGTGTACGGATTTATACCATAAATTTTAGGTTCAAATGCACAACTTATTTGTGCCATCACTTACGTTAATTTGTGGTCCGTGTAACACATAACAATTTAAATTTTTGAAATGATTTTGAGTATTAGAATGTTAATATATTAGTAAAAAAAATTAATACCGATTTGATATATTGAAATTTAACATTCTAGTCAAAAAGTCTATACGTCATGTATTCCTCAAATTTCTAAACATGTTTTGAAATATTATTGATTTTTTTTTAGATTATTGTCTTAAAACCTAAATTTTTGTATGCAAAATATAAATTTCCAAAAACTATTTTAAACTTTCGAGTTTTTAATCCACCCTTTGTTCAGAAAGTATACGATTAACAATCTAAAATTCAGTAACATTTTTCGTCCTTTGATGATTTAAAATTTACGTCAAACTCATAATTTCAACTTTCAAACGTTTTGGATTTTTTAGAAATTAAGAATTTTGGTTCAAACATTCAAATTTCAAACAACCAAAACACTTTTAAGTTTCAAATATCCAAAATATCAAATTTCTAAACTCGATTTGAATTTTTAATTACAGTATTTTAATTATCTAAAAGCCCTTTTCCTTGACCAAGAGAGTTTTTGACATAGCTTCAAAATTCAAATTTTGGGTTTTTGAAGTAAAATTCTAAAAATACAGAATGTTTTAGCAATACATGTATTTATTTTAGATTTAAAAACTCAAAGATTTAAAAATCCATAATCGTTTTTGGAAATTTGAATTTTGAAAATTTAAAGCAAAAATCTAAAACATTGAAGTTTTCAAACTTGTTTGGAAACTTGAAAGTTTAGGTTTTTGAACTAAAATATAAAATTTCAATACACGAAAAAAGTTTTTTTTTAAATTTAGAAATATTAACTGTTATATTTAAATTATAAAATTCTAAATTATTTTAGAAATTTGAATTGTTAAATGTTAGACGCCGGACCAAAATGACATACACTAAGGAAAAAAATTGTATGTATTTCGCATAAAATTCTTCATATACTTATATTTATATATTAA